TTCCTGCTACAGGAGAGTAAGTGTCTCTTTTACAATTTTGTAGATACCTTTTTTGTATATTGGAGCTTTTTAAAGTGGTGGTCATTCCTTGATTTCTCTTTAAGGGTTGTTCTTACACAAACAAAAGACAGTGTTTCCCAAACCAAAGCATCTGCAATGATAATAAATCACTTCATTCTGAAAAATTCTCAGGCCTTTGGTTCTTTCCTTGGACTCTGCCTGCAATGTTTTGGTTAGGCAGAACTTGCATATTTAGAGAAGCCATTTGTACTGTGTTGCTCTTGTTTGCGCCCTGTTGCATCCCAGCAGAGGATGGGGCTTGACCCCTCTACCATAAGTAGGAGCAGCAGAGCTAATGAGTTCGCTCCCTTGCCGGAGCTGGAAATTTCCAATGGCTGATGGGTTTGCAGAACTGATTCTTGTCAATACCTGAAACACAGACATACTTGCCTAGTTAAACCATGTGTATTTTTGCAGTTGCTAAGATCTTCTGACTTTTTCGGGAACTGCAGTCTCAGCAGACTTACAGCTATAGCAACTTAGCAACAACTTCTGTAAATTCTCTGGAGAAGTCAGCCCAGGTACAGGTTCCCATACTCATAGCTACTTAGTTGAAAATTAACCAGCAAATCCTGCAGAAAACTTTTTTAATTATGGAAAAAGCACTAGAAGCTATATATGGACTTTGGACAGGCGTGTTTGAAAAACTCATTCTTCAGCACACTACTTAAAGCATTGCAAGAAACAGGGATGGGGCAGGGATGTACAAAAATGTGTTTCCAAATGATCTTTTCACAAAAAGGAAAAAAAAAAAAAAAATTTAGATTTTGCCCATAAAAGCTTCCTCTGCTGAAGGAAGGAAGGAAGGAAATATTGCAAGAAAATGTCGGTACCAAAATGAAGGAGATTTGGTCATGTTGAAAGTTCAAGTAGTCCCACATCTTTAACTGATGCAACTGCAGAGGCTCCCTTGCTGTAGCTTGTGTGGAAGCCCTCTTACTGCCAGTGGGCGTGATGGTGATCTCACACCAGAGTAAGTCAGGGGTGGTTGTGGGTGCATTCATGGCACAAGAACAGTGCGAAAACAGCATGAACTCAGAACCAAATCCGTCCTTGGTCACCGAGTTAAGCGTATGAGGAGTTTGTAGTGAGGCACTGTTTGCGTGTTCTCATCCCCCTGTGAGACAGCAGTGAATCACCTTCTTTCAGGTGATCCATTGCCTTACTGAGCTCGGATTGCACAAGAGACTTGACTGGTGTCAGCATGGCTGGGTATCAAATACAGTTTTGTCAGGGCAAGGACTTTTAAAGTGGAGGATGAAAGTTAGGCACCAATGTCTATAGTTGCAGTAAGTAAAATTAGTTGTTTCACTGAAGGTTCAAACATCCCTAGAAATAAAAAAGAGCAAGATTAATTTTGGGAAGGCTTAGCTCTTCTGAGGAACCTGAACATCAGGGTATCTGAAGATTTTGGCTTAGCTCTTTGCAGATGTCACAGCCCTAGGACATTTATACTGCCTTGCCATCATAATAAAACATAACCCTCGGATACCCTTTCTTTATTTATTGTTGCAGAGAGGGAGCTCCACAAAGTCTTTGAGCTCAATTGACCTTATTTTTCGGCTTGACAGGTATTTAGAGAAGACAATCCGCTCAGCCGTGGAGCAGCATCTCTTTGATGTTCATGGCTCAGGCGGCCAGAGTTCAGAGGACTCTGAATCGGGAACATCTTCAGCCTCTTCTAATGTGTCTGCCAGGCAGAGGAGGCGACACCACAAAGAGCAGGAGGAAGCCCGGAGAAACAGAGACATGTACGAGCCTGATTTCTTTGTTTTGGAAAGTATATTTGATTAAGTGTACCCTAGTCATGTCCTCTTATCAAGGCAATGCTTAGTTCTGTTACGAAATGCACTAGCCCTTGCCCTGGGTTGAAAGTGCAGAGCAGACTGCAGTGCCTGTGCGGAGCTCCGTTGCATCAGTTAGAGCTGGGAAATGTGGAGTTTATTAGAGGTCATGGAGTGGGGCAAAGCATGATAAGAATCCGATTTTTTTAAGCAGTATAGTAGAGTTTTTAATTACAGTACTTGGAATTGTTTAATTACAGTATTTATTGCTTTAGTGGAAATTCCCAAGCAGTTGGCCCTATCGCCTGTAACTAACTTTAGATAAAAACATTGGGTTTAGGTGCTTTTCTGAATTCAGAATGTCTTCAAAAATGAGATCAAGTTCCCCTTTTGTATGTGAAGGCACAGCTTATGTTTGGGTTTATTGAGGAGGCTTCGGAGTTTGTCTGAAGTAGAAAAATCTTCCTTTTGATTAATCAGAATTTAAGAACTTTTATCTACCCTGTTACACAAAGTTTAAACATGATTTAATGGTGAATTTCATTAAATGTCTGTCAAAGAGTAAAAATAATACCTATTTTTCCTTTCATACTCCTCTACTTGTGGCATATATTGTGTGGTACAAATGTGTTATCACCACAGCCTTAACAAACACTTGGCCCGAGGCATAGCTATCTTTGAGGAACTCTAACTGCAGACTTTGCAAGGCCATGATCTAATCAGTGCTTACACATATGTCTAGCTTTAACACAGCGCTAGTTCTTGTAAAGAATGTGTATACTTGACTGTTGCTAGGATTGCAAGTTAGATTCCAAAATAAATATCTTGTCTCTTCTTGTTTTTTCCTGGGTGCTGAATTCCCCAAATCCTATTGGATCTGCACCTTCCTATACGAAGCCACTTTTATACAGGTGCATAACTGTCAGTACCTCATGTTAATATTGCAGCCATGCTATTTCCCAAAATGTGTCAATGCTACTGTTGTGAAAAAAAATCCATAGTTACAAAATAAAAAGCCATTTCCATAGTGAATGGAAATATGCTGTGAAGATGGACTGGGAAATTAGCACTTACAACTCACCAAAGTATCTGGCAGCAGTTCTGAAGTAGTTTTTCTTGTTTAGTAGCCCTGCTGACAGGCTTCTCAGGTAAGTAGGTCAGAGACTGGCTAGTGTACGTGTTTGGAAGCATATAGTACTGCAGGGCTTTTTTTCAACATTGTGTTACAGAGCTGCCTTTAGACGCAGTTGGTTGACGCAGTTGTTCAGGTTCAGTCCATAAAGCTGGAGCCAAGGATTTAAAGCACATCGGAAGTTTTGAATGCTGGCTAGGGTTCAAATTATTTTCCCTGGTTCCCTTACATCAGATTGCTGGAACTCCTTTGGGTGAATTATGAAAATTGGGAATTCCTTTCAAAACTTCTTTCTATTGTTGTTGTTTTGATTGTTAGTGACTTCATCTCCTTGCCCTGTGATAGATCACAAGAGGATTTGTAATGTCACAAGATGGGACTTCAGACAGGAAGAGTGTTTATTGCAAACACACATACGTGAACACCCAGGCTTTGCAGACTACATGCTCTACATGCTATGTATATATAATTGGTCTGCTCAGGGGTTTGTAAAAACTTCCACAGAGGCAAATATGTTATCTTAGAACTTTAATCATAGATTTATAATACCTCTTTGTATCTCTCTTCCACCACCAAAACCTAAGAGATTCATGATCTAGAAAACCATTGGAACTTTCTGGTTTTGTTTTTGATCTGAATGCTTTGTCATGCTGCCACTGTCCAGATACTACAGAGTAAGTGGTTTCTTGTCACACCAGTGCAAGTCTAGATAAATTCTCCTGCTGTTCATGAAAGCAGGCTTTGGAGTCGCACAGCACTGTATAAGGCAGCCGCGCATACAACAGTTAGCAAATGTTCTAGTTTCAATGTCAAGTGTAAGCAGCTTGCCTTTAGCCTCCAGCAGGGTAGGATGGTGAAGAATGAGATGCATTGTGTTTCTCCTGTTCCCATAATGCAGTGATGTGTTATGTATGTGTGTCTTCATTATTGCACAAAGTAGAGGGAAGACTACTAAGCAGGTTGTGAAGGGAAAACTGCATGCTGAAGGACGCAGGAGCCTAATTGTGCAGGGCAAGATAAACCATACGCCAGGCTTCTGGAAAACAGCACACACCCTGGTAGCCCAGAGAGTCCCAGCTAGCACATCACGTGATGACTTAAAGCTAGCTGTCCCGTTCACTTCCCAACATAGCAGAACAGTCCTCTGTCCTAGCAGTTGTGTTGCCATTGCAGAGATGCATTCCCTTTCCTGTTTTGTGTAATTCCCAAATCGGAATCAAGCATTTGGCTGAAGCACCACAGTCCTGCTCTTGCATTTGAGAATATGAATAAGAGGGCCTATTATGTGGTGTCATGCACCAAAGGAGATCTTTGGACCGCAGCTGTGAATCACTTTTCTAAATTAAAAGCACGTGTCTCAAAGGAAAATATGTTGCGTATTCTCTATAAAAATACCACAGACAGCCAGGAGCTAGTCCAGCTTCCATGTGAAGTCAATGGGATTCTCTGCATTGGCTTTAGTGGGAACTGAATCAAGTCCCAAATGTTGATCCTCACAGCTTTCTCACCTGAGGTGTATACAGCTGGCTTTCACTCCTCAAAGGGATCTGTCATTGCACAGTGTGTGTTGTTCGCTGTAGTAGGAAGAACCAGAGATACTGGTTTCGTAGGGCGTAGAAGATGTTGCCGGAACTGCACCAGTCAGCGTGATGCATTTCTCTATTGCTACCATAAATGTAGCGGGAGAATGTTTTAAACAACCTCTTGTTGTAACATCCCTTTTCTTTTTAGGGAAGTTGTCAACAAAGAAAACATTCCCTCTGGATTTGGCAATCTTGAAGACTGTATTCTAGCTGCTCAAGAAGTAGAAAAATTACAAGACAACAGCTCCGGATATCTTAGTGAAAGGAATAAACCAAAACGGCAGAAATCCAGCACCAAGCTTTCAGAGCTTAATGACAACCAGGACAGTCCTGTGGTAAGCCGGGATGCTGTACTATTTGATGCCTAGTACTAGGGTGGGAAAAAGTCTTTTTTTGATTTCAGTGCACATCTGGTTCGGTTGGGTAGCCATTTTTGCCTACAGTACAAGCATAAGTGGCTATTTTGGACTATGGGGAACACTGGGTCCCGCACTTGTGACGAGGCAACTGAGAAGCCGTATTTCTGCTACGATCCTCTTACTCCATCCATGGTCATTTTCTCTTCCCACAACTTTTTGCTTTTTTCTTCTGAATTCAGAGAAGCATTTTGGAAAGAGAAAAAGGAAGTAAGTCTTTTTCCCAGACTTCCAAAAGTCTCGCAAGGAGGTTGGAACCTCAGATGTAGGTTCACATGTTTAGGTCAAGCTTATTTGTATATTCCTGCTAAGTTCTGAAACCATAGATCGCAAGTGACTTCTTGCTAATGAGATGACAAAGGTGTTTTATGCCTTTTCCCTAAAGTCTGTGTGTTACTGTGGTGTTTGCAATTTGCAAAACACTTTGGATTGTGTTGGTCCAAAAGATGATCACTCTAGCTGCCTTTTACTGAGGCGGTAAATGACACCGATATAACGACCTAAAAATCTGGAATACTGTAGAATTTGCCCAGCATATTCTTGTGTGACCTTCACGGTAGAAGACAGTTTGCCAACTTTTACAAGCTGTAGAATAAAACTGATGCACCCTCCTTCCGTCTCAACCAAACCAGACACTGATTATAGTGTCAGCAGTTGAGAAACTGTACTGTGCTTCAACGCAGGGTGTGCTTACAGTGGCAGAAGTGCTATGCATCCGGTGCCTGGCACTGGTACACGGTGACTAGTAACAGTGAAAGCTGTGTGAAAAGACTGTCCTTCCAAGCTATAGGGCATTTCCTTTGTTGTACATGATTAAGTTTTAGAGCCTGTTGTGAGTGAGTTCCTTCTTAATGTGACATTGTGTTGGGACTCATTTTGTTTAGGTCACAAAGTTGCAATGATCTGATGCTCTTACCCTGTGCAGAGATTATAGAGAGAGGCAGATTTGGCTTCTCTTTGTGATAAAAAGAAGGCAAGATGCCAAAAATTTTAGGCTGCGCTTAGATTTAGCGCTCAATATCAGTAACCTATTTATGTGATACTTCATGAAAGAGCACAGTGAGATAGACACACTCTCACTTTGTGTCTTTGCTTGTAGCAATGGACTTTAAGATAGGCAAAGGTCAAGTGCTTACACTCTTTTCTGCACCTCTTCTCTGTACCTGTGGTGTGTAAAGCAGTTTAAATGTAAATGAGAATTTGACTCAGGATTTGGGAAAGGAAAGACTGACAGAAGTGTCCACTTTTGCTGTGGACCTGAAAAACATTCATGAAGTCTTAAAACATGCCCAGAAGAAATGTCCTCAAACTTACCTGTGTCCACTGGACTTTTCCCTGCCCCTCATTTTTGGATCTCTTGAGGGGCAAAGGCTGAAAGGAACATAAAATGAACTAACCTTGCACAAAAAGCGCTTTGACCAAGATGACCATCAGTGTGGTTCTTGCTTGCTTTGCTAGAGGAAGTGTCGCAGTGGGATTGTCAACTGGGAGTATTGTTATGAAACAGCTTGCAGTGAGCCCGGTGTTACTCTTTTTGAAGAGCAAAGGCAGCTTTTTAAGTTTTCATGAGTGCGCTTATTTCATACTTGCATTTCAGAGACTGCCAGCAGGATGTGTGGTGGTTTAGCTTTCTTTTGGCTACATCTTTACACTTCAAATAATAACCCAAATTAGACTACCTGCTTGGAGTATCAAAGGACATAACCTGCACCTTAGCATTTATTAATAGGCCTTCGTCATGTAAACAAGTTTGTGATGTTGTGTCTTCTTAGCCACCATTTTCTGAGCCTTCCTGCCTTTCAAAGCCTGAAAGAGTATGTAGGACAGTGTGTGGAAGCTTTCCTCTTAGCTGTCTAATTGCATCTGACTCAAAAGTCTAAGTCAGCGGTGAAAAATCTGTCAGTTCCGCTTACCAAAGCGTTTGAGCAAACCAACCACAAAGCATTAAAAGCTTGTAGCTGCATTTCAGAGACATGGTAGCCAGGTACCAGTAGGACTTGAAGAATCATATTAAGTAAGGCTGAAATGACTGAGCTGTGTCACCTCATGGGGCTGGAGGTGTAGCAGGTGAGACAGGGCTGTGACTGCCCCAAGAAGTCTGTGCACGCAGTTCCTGGGGCCCAGGGCAGGGACCACACTCCATTCTACTGGCTGACTTTCCTCCTATTTAAGAGGGACTTGCCCAAAAACCAGGGTAGAAAACCTCCTGGACATGTGCCTGAAGTGGCAACATGGCTTGTCTTCACAGTACTTTCTCAAGCTCTTAGAGGACAACAGCATTAATGTTCCTAATGGTAGCCAAGACAAATTTCAGAACAAGTTGTCATAACCAGTTGAATTTCTCGCCCTGCATTCGTATTAGCACAACTTAACATTACCTCTGTGCGTATAGCAGTCTTTTTGCATTCTTCTGCCCATTTAAGAAGAAACTGGGGAAGGGTTTGGCTGAAAAGGGGAGTATTTTCTAAGATGAGCATAAGGAGTCCTGCTAGGAAGATGCTGTGGATTTTGGTACCTGCTCTTACAGGACTTGGACACATCACAGAATTGCTCTCAAGCTCAGCCTGTCTGTCAGTCTGTAAAATGGGAACTGGCGGGGTACCATGCAGCATTATTCTGTTAAACATTTTGAGGCCATCTGATGAAAGAGATGAAGCAGTGAGCAGTTGGTTTTTTTGCAGGTTATGGGCAATAAAGTGTGGGTTTTGTTTTGTTATAAATGTGCAGCAGGCAGTAGTCTGATTTTTGTCTTGTTTTGAGAAGTCCTGTTGGATATTTCTATATTCGAACTGTTTAATGGCCTGCAGCTTGAATCTATTTCTCTTATGTATCTTACTGCTTTAACATTTGCTGTATTACAGAGTATGGAAAGCTTTAGCTCATCCAGGCCTATAGACAGAACAGGACCTGATGACATGGAAATTTTATCTGAAGAAAGGTGATTTTTTTGGTTTTTTGGGTTTTTTTTAAATATATGTATGTTTTATTTTCCCTGTGGTTGTAGTACAGCCTAGGAGATCTTCTACCAGTCTATGAGGGTGACATTTAGTTATGCTGCAGAACAGCATTACCCACCATGTTAGCTTCAAAGTAGAACTGTATGGAGGCACTGCATATGTTGTGTGGGCTCTGCCCAGCAGCATACGCCACGAAGACTCTTCTCCCAGCCTGTTAGGAATGGCACTGAAGATGCTGATGGTGCAGACTTGAAAAGAAGTCAGCTGTGAAGCACCTGAACCAGCATGCTCCACACAGGGGACTGCAGGGCCTGTCTCACCTGGCCTCTGGGTTGGGAATCTAGCTCTTCTCTTTATGCGTCGCTCTTCTGCGAGAGCTGTACAGCCCCACTCTGCTCGCCTGAGATGACAATTCCTCTCCAGAGTTATGTTTGTTGGGAGAGTTGTATTGGTTTGGATTAAGGGCACTGGACTTAAATGAAATTACATTTTTCACAAATAGCTCCTGAGAGGAAGCAAAAATACATAGTTTAGCAGCCTGAAGTGCTGCAGCCCAGAGTGTCCCTTCATTTACTGAATGAGTTAGTAAGTGTGCAGCAGTAGCAAGAATCTAAAAACTTGTGTGTGCAGAAGTCCTGCTTGTTTTTGTTACAAGTCTGGTTTTGTATTTGTAATATGTTGGTTTGTTTTTGTTTTTTTGTAGCAAAGAAAGTGAAAACGATGAGGTTTTTTTCAGGCACTCTCAGGTTGGTATTTTTTGGTTTTTGTGTTTCAGTTTTGTGCTCTCTAAACGGGCTTTTTTATTGAGTAGAAAAAAGTAGTTAGGCATATAGTTCTGTGAAATTTTGTTTCTCCCAGAGAAATGGAGTTAGCATTTGCTTTTTCTTTCCTTTCTCTCTGCTTTTTATTTACATAATTTAGGGAGGCTCTCAGCCACTGAGGAGTCTGAAGGCATCTGCTTCAGTCCCTTCAATCCCTCCTTGCCAAAAAGGGAAGTGTCACGGAAGTCAGCACTTCGGTTTAAGTGACGCCAAGTTCCCTTTTAATCATTGCAAACAGGGTGTGTGACTGGTTATCTCCCAGGGTAGTAAGATTAGCTTGTCTCTCTTGATTTCTCTAAAATCATTTGGTCTTTTATTTATGATTTCCCAATGCGGCCTGTTACCTTTGAACATAGGTGTCTGTGATCCATTTGTCTTAGAAAACTGGATCATCTCCTGCTTCACTCTGAGGGTTGGTGATTGGGATGGATGTCAGGAAGGGAGATGGGACTTTGATGGCAATATATTTTTCCCCAACTTTCCGTTTCTGCTCAACACCTACCTCCTGCATTCACTTTATGGTGTTTTTCATCTAACTGTTCAGCAAAGCAAAGATTGGCGTTGGGTTAGGTGAACACCTTTGCAGTCACTGGTTCATTTGGGTTTGCTTGAAACAACTCTATACAGCCAAGCATTTAAAATACTAGGGAGAGTTATCTGAGGCACCTCTCCCTCAGTTGTGCACTCATTTTAGAGGAGCACAGTAAAACAGCTGTGGACAATGTCTGGTTTCTCTGGCCGCATGGAGTTAACTGAGGGCTGATAGTTTTTTTTAAACTAGCCTTCTCTTGTGTTTTTTTAAAAATAAAAGCCACTATGCATTTATTGTCTTTGAAAGACTTCATTTCTGGTAGGTATTATTTCCATCTAGCAAAGGTAAAAGAGATTATTTGCTAGCAGCTGGGCTCTGACCAGCTGTGTTGTAGCTGGAGAAGTTCATGGGACACTGAAACATGTAACCTCTGCAAGGGGTGTTCACAACTGCCTTTGATCACTGCTCTGAGTGGGCTTAGATGGATCTCCTACTTTGCTCACAGAGGGTCAGTAATCCGCAATGATCCTGCACTTGCTCGTGAGCTGTTGCATTTTCCGGAGCGTGGATTTTGCACCACCTTGTTCCTCATGTACCGGCTTGCATGTGGGGAAGGTGCTGTCACTTTCATGCCACACAATACTCCCATTAAGCTTTTAAGTTAGTCTGGGAGAGGTATATTTGAATATGAAATCATAATCTTAAAATAAACTTCTCCTTAGAAGAGTTTTAAAATCTAGAATTTTAACTGCAGGAGAAGACATAGCCTTAACCCAGAGATTGTATTATATAGGAATTACAAGGTCAAGAAAATGTTACATTCCTGCAGCGTAGTTTTACATTCCTTTTCCCTTATAAGCCTTTTTCTTAGGGCAGCTTAAAGACATACCTTTCCTAACAAACAACTCATTCAGGATGAGGAAAGGACAGGGACTTTCTTACTCTTTTCTCTTTCTCACCCTGTCTCCAATCTGAAGATACTAGGAAAGGTATTTGGAATTTGCCATAGCTACCAGTTGTGCAGACTCGGTTCCCCATGAGGCAGTAAAAATACTTGAAACACATGTCCCGAATGAATTTTCAGTGCTTTTGTAGCCTTCATAATCTGCCCTTGGAAGTAGCTAAGCTCCAGGATGTAGACTGTGATTTGAAAAACACAGGTTTCTAGTACCCAGATTTTGATAAGGGAAGGGTGTTTAAGATTTACACCAACATGGCAACAAGTGTAGAGGGGGATTGGCATGACTCAGGAGTAAGGCAGCAGAATGGCTGTGCTCTTGCATCAGATTGTATTACCAAGAGGTGCTTAAGGATGCTTGCTGCTTGTCATTATAACGGATGATCGGATGTAAGGGAAGCGAGCCTTCTAAATAAAATTGATTTGAATCCACACGTAATCAAACAGAATACAACTTCCTCATCAGAATTCAAAGGTCTTTCTGTTGCCATTTGTTTCTAGCTGCTTGAGCTACTCTTTATGCTGAGTCTGCTTTGGAGCAGGGAGAATGAAAGCACTGACTTCTCCCAAAGTTACTTAGATCTGTAGTTACTGGTACCTGCAAAGCATGGCTGCAAAAGCAGCTTCTAAAAAGCAGAACTCGGGTGCCTAGTTTGAAGATTTTTTTTTTTTTTTTAATGGTCATTTATGTAATATCCGCAGTGCACTATGACTGCCAGCTGCTACTGAGATCATCAACTTGCTGCCCCTTTGGTTTGTAAGAAATTGTGGCACATCCATACCTAAAGCACAGTAGTTCTCCACTACTTGATTTTTGTCCTGGAGGTTGGCAACTGGTGGCATCAGGAAACCAACAGGAAAATAAGTGATGGGAATACTGAATTATCTACTACTCTATGGGTTTGGAGCGTTAATGCAAAGAAGGTTAAACATCTGCTTTCTTGAGTCTCCTGGGTTTGTACCACCATTGTTCTTCAGAATGCCTAATGATTTATTCATTGTATTAGAGGCTGCATCAGTGAGCAAGGAAAGGAGAGTAACTGGCTGCAGGCACAGAACAGGCCTGTTCCTGGTTTTAAACAGCTTTTAATACTTCCAACAACTGAGGTGACTTTAGAAGGAAGATATTGATATGATCTTTCTAATATATCTGTAATGGAAATGTTTACCCATCTGGGAAGTGCTCTTATATCTAATACAGATACCTTTTAAGAGTCTTAGTAAGTCAGGAGACTGTACACTTTTTGTAGAAAGACATTTAACTCTATAATTAGTATCAGTGGTGGTGATGGGATGGTATTTTCAGGTTGCTCCCTTCGAAATTGTTAAAATCTACATAAGTTTCTCTCTTCACACTTCTTGATGTTATTAAAAATAGCACCTATTTTGAAACTTACTGCTTTATTTCTTTCAGCCTTAAAATACTGTGCTGGCAATTTAAATGCAGTTTATCAACTGGTACAGTTTGTTCTTTAGTAAATTTAGAAGACTGCCTGTTTCTGGCCACTGACCAGTCTTTCTGTTTGTAATGTACACTGACTATTTAGATCCTGGCAAGAAATTTGTTACTGGACCTTAAAGAAATATTTAAGTCCTCCCGACCTGGAAGCAGCTTAAAAGATATTGAATGGTGAATTAGCATTTTTCCATGTACAGCTCTCACAATAAACACGTTTGTAATCAGATTTAGTGTCAAGCTGTACGAGTTATTAGTGCTTGGCAAACTGTCATCTAGTGTTTCCTTTTGTTATAATGTTTCAAAAAGGCGATTTATTGAAATGAAAAGAAAATACAAATCTTATGCAAATAGGATGCAGAACACTTTTTACAAATACCAGGGTGTTCATCACCCGGGTTTTTAGAACCATAGAACAGCCCAGGTTGGAAGGGACCTCGAAATATCACCTGGTCCAAGCTTTAGTGGGAAAGGGAGCCTAGATGAGATTATCTAGCACCCTGTCCAATTGCAGGGATTGATGGGATTGAATCCAGTTAAAAACATTTATTCATATGATTTGTCTACTGAGCAGGTTTTTTCCCTCTCTACATGAAGCTTACTTGTTTTTCTCTGGTCAAAGGGGAAAAAAACCAAAACACATCATTAGCTTTATGCAGATTAAAAAAATTAAATGTGCCTTAGTGGCATGTGCTAAGGATATTGATTTAGTACAGTTTGGCTATGCTTCTGGGTTCACAAGTAAAATACGTCCAAATGTACTGGTTATTTTCTTTAGGCCCGTTTTCTTTGCACATCAGCATATGCAGATTGCTAACTAGATTATCAAAATACCTGCAGGGGGAAAATCTGCATCTTGACTACCTGCTAGACTATATTTGAGAGAATTATGCCTAAACTGTTCTTACGAAGATCAAATAGTTTATATAGTAATGTAATGCTGTCTATTTGGATAGCTCTGTGTTTGTTGGTGTGTTGATACATATCACACTATACGTTTATGTACGTGCGTTACACTTCCTTTTCCCTACTGCCCTCTGTGAGGCATTACAGCTAATTTATTTTAGAGTGACAAAACTGCTTGTGTCATCAAGCACTATTACAGACACGCGCACTGTGTATCTGGATTGTGGGAATGGCAGTGATTTCTGCATAAATGCACACGACGTGTGGTATGTGCAGGGGTGAATAGTAGTGAAACAAACAGCAGTTGCTTCTAGGTAGTGCTAAATGATGAATCATTTACTTGACAGCATTCTGCCTTTTTTTTTTTTCCCCTAAGTCATTGGATGCTTGTGTGAATTTTTTGGCTTTTTCCCAGAGTCCACACTGCTTCCAGCTGAGATGCCAAACCCCACTGCCGTTTGGATTTGCGCAACACTGCTTTAATACCCAGAGCTCCTCCATAAATAGTTCTGCTCTCCCCACGCCTAGCTAGAAAACAACCACAGGAAATCGGGGAATGTGCAGTCAGCACAGCTTAGCTGGCACTAATTGATCTGAGCCAGCACAGCCTGCATGAGAACATTCATGTACGTAGCCTGCACTGCTTGCTGTCTGCGGCTGCTACCTCAGGAGCTCCCGTGCCTGCTTTTTAGAAGACACCATATTGCTACAGCCTTACAACAGCAGCAGCGTTTTTGTTGTTGCTCCAAGGAGTTGCACTCCTGTAGGAAGTGCATGCAGCCACCCCCTCTCTCTCCCTTTCTCTCTGCCTTCCTCCCTCCCTTTTCATCCCAATCAATTACTGGAGGCTTGTTCAGCTGCATGCAGTTGTCAGGGCAGGCAGTCTTGGGAACTTGCAGTGGCTTTCTAAAGAAGAAAAAATTCAAGGAAGGCAGATGGACAGATGTTTTTACCGGTGTGAGTGAGCAATTAGTACGTAGGGGTCAACGAGCAGGGAATTTGGATTTGGAGCTGGAAACGTCAGGGTCTGTTTGTTTGGATCTTTTTAGCTAAAGGCATGAGCTTACTGCTGCTGTGACTGCAGGGTTTTTTTTTTTCCTCCTCTGCCTCCTGAAACATTTTTTTTCTTTCTCTCTCATTTCTGTGGGTGTATGGGAATATAGCTGACTTCAGGTATGAAGATTCAAGAGCATCCAAGCGTTCCTGAAAACAAGTTGCAAAGAAATCAAGATGGTGATGATCAGGAAAACAGCTTTGTGTCAGAAGTGCCTCGGCTGGATTTGACAGCACTGTGTGATGACAGCAACTGGGAAGGTAGGATTGTGTGATGGCTGATCATATGAGTGAAACGAGAGAGAGGGAAACCTGAGTGGGTTGGGTATATCTTTATATGATCATGTTCCCTTGCCAAAAACAGCAGGAAAGCAATTTTGTCCTGAACATGGAACTGAAAGTTTGGAGAGCGAAATACTGGATGGGTACCAATTCTAATTGTCACTTAGAGGAAGAAAAATAATTGTTTTATTCTTGAAGTTATTTCATGTGCTGTTTAGTACTGTTATGTGCCTGAGTGTTTCAGGATACTTATTTCTTGGTGGCTGGCACTCGAATATTAAGCTAGACTGCCCTACACTTCAAAGAAACTGGGTATTTCACAGTCTAAAAGGAACTTCCTTCTTCCTCCCTTTTCTTCCACTTCAATCATTATTTGGAAATAATGATTTGGATCTGAAAAGCACAACTGGAAAAAAGGCTGTCTATCTGCTAGTCTGTCTTTTGATGGCTCTTACAAACAACTTCTTTTTTTATCTATGCTGTGAAAAAATTCTGATCACCAGCTCAAACGGCAGTGTTAAATTGCATGTGGTTTAAATTATTTTAATATTGTTTCTTAGTTCTCATCTCCAGAGTGCGTGCTTGGTTGGCTGTTTGCGCTGACACACTTAGGAGTGGGAAATCTGGGGGAACTTTGGTGCCACAAACCCCAATTTCATTTGAAATTGAGATTAATTGAAGGTGTCCAGCACCTCTGGGATCACACCCTTTTTCAATTACTGAGTATGTCTCTGTGTACAAGCAAGAATTCTTCTGTTAGCTTGTGCTTTAGGAGTGAAAGAGGGACTTTGACAGGGAAGAAACAGGAAAATGCAAGTCTGGTATTTTAATAAAGCAAGAGGGGGAAAATGTGTAACTAATTTATTGCTCTAAAAAAACAGTCTCTGAGGAACACTAAAAAGTTAAGTTCTCTGCTCCTGCCTCCACAGCGTACGTGACCTAGTATATTTTGCCTTTCCCTCTAGGAGGGCAGTAGTTATGACGCTTCAGGCATGAGTAAAGATGGCTTTTGATTCAGCCAGGCAACTAGTCACCATGGACGGGAGAGAAGTTCTCCACTTGCTTGCTAGGCGGGGATTCCCTGGGTGGTATCACCACGCATGCAGCATGGCTGATCAAAGAGCCGTGGAAGGGCTCCCAGGAGACCACGGCTGCCTTATGTGTTTGCTGAGATGCTAATTAGCACTGCCCCGCAGGGTCTCGAGCCAGGGTGAGCACGTCTGTGTTCTCAGAGGTGATATGTGGCTTCAGCCGTCATGTGAACCTTTGGAAATAATGACACTTCTTTTTTTTTCTTCCTGGATTACTAATGGGAGTCATATGAATGCATGAAGGGGAGAACGCAGCTCCCTTCTGTCTGCCAGAGGCTCTCCCATTGTATGAAATAAGTTGCACCTTTGGTACAACTCCCTCTTCGTAGGCATGCTCTTATTTTTGGATTCTAGCTTTCTTGACCTGCAAATATGAAAAGGATTATGAGCATATGTGACTGTGTGCTTCTCTCTGATTCTTCCTTCCTCCGTTCTGTTCACATGTATTTCACAAGAGGAGGAGGTGGGCAGTTGCAAAAGAATCAGCTGTCTGGGGTGAGAGAGATGTCGTCTAAAATACTTGCCTTCCAGAATCACCATTTTGTTGGCGCAGATGAAGGAGCAGCAAAATGGTGCCTTCGGTGTCTCAGCAAGGAAAGACTGAGTCTTTCCTAGCTGTGGATGTGAAATCAAGCTTGCAGCAGCCAGGAAGGGGAAGATGTTAATGTCAACTCTCAGACTGCTTCTGCAGCTAATGGCAGACTCTGTCGTGGAGACTGGCTTTTCAAGGCAGGGTTGTACCACTCATCTGCAGCTCTAGCAGACAAGGCATCCTCCCTTCCCCAGCCAGCCTGTGTCACTCAAACCTTCACACATCTCTTCAGGATCTGTTCCGCAGCTCTGGTTGCATCCCCAGTAAAAAGGGAAAGGACTGTGCCTCCAAATGCAGTAACACAGAGTTACTTATTTCTTTGCTCTAGCATATTTGGTAGGTCCATCTCTCAGGAAATTATCCATTTCTCCAGGACATAGTTGAGCTGACTTTTGGGGGCAGGGCCCTCTGTATCACACTGCAGGAGATACAGAGCATGTAGAGACCAGGGCAACTGCTGGGCCTTTCACAAATGGCTTGTGAGAACAATTACAGGTTGAGGGGTTGCCTTCAGCTGTAGCTGTCACTGCCTCCAGTCAAATGTTAGGAAAGGGCCTTGAAGAATGGGCACAAAATTATGCAAGACAACATTGTCCATTGACTAGCTTTTATTTGTCAGTCAGGCAGACTTCCTTTCATGTTAAGACCAGAGCTGCCTTAAAAATCCTGATTCAGGGGCACAAAACTGTGATAACTCCTGCCAGGTGAGCTAGCAGGGCTCCCTGCCTTTTATGTTATGCTAGAAGTAGTTTTTACCAGTTTGTTGTTGGTTTTGGTTTGGTTTTTTTTTTAAGGTTCACCGCATAGTCAAATCTGTACACAGGAGGAGAGACTTGCTGTACGTCTCCAGGCTATGTTCCCTTTACCTAAAGCTGAGCAGAGAGAGGACAGAGAAATTCGCTTCCCGCTTCCTCCAGTGCATAGGCTTACACTCTGCTATGTGCCCATAGATGCTTTCTGCATCCACCTTGCCTGCTACGTATAGGAGCATACGTGTAGTAATCATCAGGCTATTGGCGTAGTACGCAGGGTGTGAGCAGTGCCCCATCCAAATTCAAGTGCTAAACACTTAGCCTAGGTGCGTTTCCCATGGTCTGAGAGAAGTATTTTACTAGTGTGCATTTGGCGGATGCAAATCCAATAGTTTTATTTTCAGGCTGGGTGTAAACCAAGCTGTCTCTGTGAACTGGGATGTCTGACTGCTACGCTTGCCTGCTAAGCTGGCCAGTCGGTGCCAGCTGAGACGGTTTGCAAGCAAGCATTTTCAGAGCTACTTCCATAGCGAAGGTTTTTAATTGTTGTGGATTACGTTTGAATCGAGTACTGTAAGCAAGGAGGACAGAGTGTTCTCTCTCAGTCCAGCACTATTGTGCCGATTTCTTACCAAATGTTTCTAATTCATGCCCAGAACTTGCTATCCTGCCCTCAAGGAAAATCAGGAAGTATGTTGCTCTCCCTAGAAGCGGCAGGCCCTGTCAGCAGCTTGGAGCTGAACAGGCGGTTCAGTAAATCAATACGATGCGTGTGATTGCTGCCTACGTCGCCTGATTACTGACGTTTTAAAAAAAGTTCTGTAGATGAGATTTCAAGCAGAGTTTGCAGTAACAAGCACTTACGAAACAATCAGCGGACATTTTTCTGCAAACTTGCAAGCTTAAAAAAAAAAAGAATAAAAGTAGACGTTTAAAACACAATTTGAGTTCTTGGTGTTGAGAATTCAAGTATTGCAGCACTGAGACCCTGAGGGTGAAGCTGATCTACAAATAGTTTCGACACTGACTTAATTGATACTTTCCCATGAAAAAAAAAAAAAAAAAGAGTAATGCAAAAAAATCCAAAGAGTACAGCAACAGGGAAGCTGGATTTAGATTTCTTTTTTTCAACACTGTGGACTTAGATACATCAGTGTATTTGCATGTGTAACACTCTTTAGCATAAGAAATCAAAAGGTGATGAAACACACTGCATTTTTATTACTATGTGTAGAAAAGAATAATTGCATTGTTTACTGATTTTATTTTATAGCATCAATATTTTAAAAATGTATTTTTTCATTGTTTATTATGACATTATATTATAAACAAAATACAAAGTTGGCTTGCTAGCTGAGAGATGTGTCATTTCAGTAACTGAAAAGGTGTGGTAGTGCTTTATTTGGGCCATTCTTTTTGATCTATGTAGAAAGAATACCTCCTAATGTATTCAAACAAAGATGTTTTCAAACAATTATTTATAAGATGAGTAAAATAGGTTGTTACTGAGCTAGTGAATGTTTTGGGGTTTTAAATTGCTTTATTCACTTCATTATGAGAGGTCTTTCTGGGGTCTTTCAAGTGGGATTTAATTCTAGGACCTCAGGTGTTGTAATTAGTTTAGGCTTTTTAATCCCTCCGGACCTACTTTGATTTACAGCAGCTAAGATTTGGCCTCCTTTGTTTGTCAGATGGGTGTGTGTAAAAGCAGTGTTAGCAGCATATATCAGCTGTGTGGCTGCGGAGAGGGAAACAGGAGATGCCCTCGGCATTTTGCCAGCTGCACCTCAGGTGGGATGTGTGTGTGGGCACCCCTCTGTTGGCCCTGCAGCCCCCAGTGACCCTGTGGCAAATACACGATGTAATGATAAAAAAAAGTCAGTTTTTGTCAGCAAGAGGGGTTGGGGCTCGCCAATAATACACCAGCTTGATACAATTAATCTTTCTTCCTTCTTGCATGATACAGATTTATTAATATCTCTAGCCCTCCGTGCAGCAGGTTGGCAGAGAGGTTGTATTGCTGTAGGCGTATGTGTGCCTACAGAGTTCTGCAGAGCAACACCTGGCAGATGGCTGACAGCTTTGTTGAAAGATAGCTGGTTGTGGGATTTTGAGAGGGAGTTGAGCACTTCTGAAGGACTGCAGCTCGATACCAGGGTATTTCACTTCTTCTGCGCCAACTTAGAAAAGGTGTACCTAAAAGAAATGCGTTGAGAGTCTAACCAAGAAATAGAAAATTTTTTTCACTCTTTCTGTGCACTGGTACAGCCATGGTGGTTAAATATTCCCAAATACTTTTTTTCATGAAAGGTTGTCATTATGGAAAATGGGGGGAAAAAATAGTGCATGGAAAGAATGTGGAGATGAGTAGAAAACAAGAGTTTTCTCTGAGCAAGAGAGATCTGTTCAAGACAGAAGATGAATAAGGATAACTTGACTCTGTCAAGTCAATGGCAAAGAAAAGGTAAAACATTTACATTCTTTACTGAGATTTTATTCTTCAATTAGCAGAAAGGGGAAAGGGTAACAACACTAATCCTGACAGCAGATACTTCAAGCCTGAACCATTAAGTCCAGGAATTTAGCAGCCTTCAGAAAAGGCTCAACACTTTGATAGCTATCTTGGATAAATGAATAACAAAAGATATTATCTATTCTGGTAAACAGGAATTGATTGATTGTGCACTGTCAGAAAAATCGGCAGCTTACCCTTAGTGGGTGCCTGTATATTTGTGCAATCCAACGATTCCAGTGCTTCCAGCTGAAGTGCCTGGCACCTGGCCAGTATGAGGGAGAAAGCAGTTGGACTACAGCTCTGGTCCACTTTGTGATCTGGTGTAGATAAAATCCATAATTCTACATACCTAAAAATGTTCCTTAATTAATTGCTGTGTTACTTTCTGGGGAGTTAGCCAGATGAGATTTTTTTCTTCTAAATACTTAAAGTCAGCAAGGGAAACAAGTTACCCATAGAGTCAGACCTTCCAGGAGCGAGGGTTAAAAACAGCTGACTGTCTATAGTGGCCATTTCTTCTGTCAAGTCTCAAATTTGATTTTTCCTTTTAGGACTTTTTTTTCCTTCTCCTTTTTAACACTTTCTCCTTTGGAACATGAGTTTCTATTTTTGGGCAGTATTTTGAAATCAATAGAATAGAAAGTACACATACCTCGGTCTCCACTAGCTTGCATAAAGTGCTTTGCTGTCTTTTGGGGTTTGACCAGAGGCCCTTTGAGCCATTGCAATTCCCTGAATGTCGCATCCTATCTGGTATATAAATCCACCTTGGGACAAAGTCACATGCATCACGCATGATTAGTAATGGCTTTGTTAGCTGGTGTGGTAGGAGCTTAATTTGGTTACAGCTAAATATGCTGCTGATTCTTCTAAGTTTTTTCCATCTATGTAAATCCCCTCATTTAACAATTTCCACGAGCAAATTCTGTTTGGGGGTGAGAGTGCATTCCAAAGATTGGAAGTGGGAGATGTCTGGAAGAATCGCG